AGATAAATCAGTCACATTAAATGTAGCACTTACATTACCGTAGGAGCTAGGCAAATCTATTTATAAAGCATTATCATTGATTCGCTCCAAGATTTGGAAAGGGCCATCTCCTCTTGGCTGCAACTTAGACTTTCGTTGTTCTGGAAACCTCTCCTTTCGCAAGTGTATCCAAACCCAGTCTCCAGGCTGAAAGACAACCTTCCTACGACCTTTGTTAGCTTGCTTTGTATATTGCTCATTCTTTCTCTCGATGTTGGCCCTCACCTTAGCATGTAATTCCTGCACAAACTCAGCCTTTTTCTTGCCATCAAGGTAGCTCATTCACTAGAAGGCAAAGGCAGAATATCCAAAGGAGATAGAGGATTAAAGCCATAAACAATCTCAAATGGAGAGAAAGAAGTGGAAGAGTGAATAGCCCTGTTATATGCAAATTCAATATGAGGCAAGCAGTTGACCCAATTCTTCAAGTTCTTTTGAATTATTGCACGTAACAAGGTAGTGAGTGTTCTATTGACGACCTCAGTTTGCCCATCCGTTTGGGGATGTGCCACAGTAGAAAACAGCAACTTAGTTCCAAGCTTACTCCACAAGGTCCTCCAAAAATGGCTAAGAAACTTTACATCCCTATCACTCACAATGGTTTTAGGCAATCCATGCAATCTAACAATTTCTTTGAAGAACAAGTCAGCAATATGCACAGCATCATTTGTTTTAGAACAAGCAATATAAAATGAGCCATTTTACTAAATCTATCCACTACAACAAAGATACTATCTTTCCCAGATTGAGACCTAGGCAAGCCCAACACAAAATCCATAGAAATATCTACCCAGGTTGGGAAGGCACAGGTAGAGGGGAATATAAACCATGAGGTTGAACCTTAGACTTTGCATGCCTACATGTCACACATTTAGCACAAACAGACACAACGTCTTTGCGCATACCAGGCCAATAAAAGTGTTCATGCAAAAGAGCTAATGTTTTGTCAACACCAAAGTGACCCATCAAACCACCACCATGAGTTTCTTTTACAAGCAGCTCGCGCATAGAGAAATTGGGAATGCACAATTTATCTTTCTTAAAAAGAAACCCATCAGATCTATAAAAGTCATTCACCCCATGCTTTTCACAAGAAAGCCAAATTTTGGAAAAATCACAATCAGAGTCATACAACCCTTTCAATAATTCAAATCCAAGTAATCTAGCATGAAGAGAAGTGATAAGAGAATACCTCCTAGAAAGAGCATCAGCAACAACATTCTCTTTACCTTGCTTATGCTTGATCACATAAGGAAACGTCTCTATGAATTCCAACCAGCGAGCATGCCTCTTGTTAAGCTTACCTTGAGACTTTAGAAACTTCAAACTTTCATGATCAGAGTGAATAATGAATTCCTTGGGCCATAAATAATGCTGCCATGTTTCTAAAGTTCGTTTTAAAGCATAGAGTTCCTTTGTCATAAGTAGAGTAATTCAAAGAAGCTCCACTTAATTTCTCACTGAAGTAGGCAATAGGCCTAGACTTCTTGCATTAGAACAGCACCAATACCAATCCCAGAAGCATCACATTCAATTTCAAAAACTTTATTAAAATCAGGTAAACACAAAAGTGGTGCATTGGTTAATTTCTCTTTCAAGGTATTAAAAGCTGTTTCTTGTGTTTCACCCCATTTAAATGTCACATGCTTCTTAACAAGCTCATTTAGAGGTGCAGCAATAGTTGAAAAATCTTTCACAAACCTCCTATAGAAACTTGCTAGTCCATGAAAACTCCTGACTTCATTGGCATTCTTTGGGGTTGGCCAATCTCTTATAGCTTTTAACTTTTCCTCATCCACATGGATCCCTTGAGCACCTACAACAAAACCAAGAAACACAACAGAATCCATGCAAAAGGAGCTTTCTGAAAATTAGCATATAAGCTATTCTCCCTAAGAGTTCGAAACACCTCATGCAAGTGAATAACATGGTCATCTATTGTTTTTACTATAGACAAGAATATCATCAAAGTAGACAACCACAAACTTCCCAATAAATGAACGAAAACATGATCATCAAACTCATGAAGGTGCTAGGTGCATTAGTTAACCCAAAAGGCATAACTAACCATTCATACAATCCAAATTTAGTTTTAAATGCTGTTTTCCATTCATCTCCCTCTTTCATGCGAATTGATGATAACCACTCCTTAGGTCAATTTTAGAGAATAAAGTAGCACCATGCAACTCATCCAACATGTCATCTAATCTAGGAATGGGGTAGCGATACTTAACTGTTATTTTGTTGATGGCTCTACAATCAATGCACATTCGCCATGAACCATCTTTCTTGGGCACTAGAAGTACTGGAACAGCACATGGGCTCAAACTTTCCCTACAAAGCCTTCCTCATGAGTTCATCAACTTGGCATTGAATCTCTTTAGTTTCTTCGGGATTGGCTCTATAAGCTGGTCTATTAGGTATAGAAGCTCCAGGGAAAATCAATCCTATGCTCAATTCCTCTTAAGGGAGGAAGCCCATCGGGAACTTCATCAGGGAATAGGTCACCAAATTCCTGCAACAAAGCCACAACACTAGAAGGCAAAGAGGGGTTAAGTTCGTTAGTAGAAAAATAAGCATCCTTGCACACAAGCACCAAGACTCGCTCACTCACTAATGCTCTCTTAACCTCACTTTTTCCAGCAAATAGACTCTCTTTCTTTTGTTCATTTTCTCATATTCATTCCTCTTCTTTTCTTTTTTTTGTACTCTCTCTTTTTTACTCCACTCACTTATTTTTTTTGCATTCCTTCTCAATCCTCACTTGGTCATCATAAGCTTCTTTAGGCCTAAGAGGCTTCAATACAATGATTTTTCCACTGAAAGGTACAGAATAACAATTTTTGTAACCATCATGGTGAGCTCTACTATCAAACTGCCATGGTCTTCCAAGCAAGAGATGTCCAGCAAGCATTGGGACTACATCACATAAAACTTCAGCATGGTAGTTAATAGAGGAGCATGGCATGATCAAGCATCAAAGGAAGACCAAAACACGGAGCGTGGAGCCCAAGCTAAAAGATGGAAGTCCAATATTCTAAAAGACCCATTACAAGGCATTTCAGGCCCAATGACAAGAGCAAGGACCAAATCTATGAAAGAGGCGTTGAATTGTTTGATAAAAGATCTTAAAGAGTTAGAGCCCATTTATTTGGAAGAAGCATCCCTCAATCAGCCCATCAAGGGTCCAAACATGGTGATTACATTGCTAGAAGCCAAACAAGATGATGTACAAGGCCCATGTGCAGTCCAGATTAAAGAATTCACTCAAAATACCATGTGACAAGCATGTGCCTTGGAGGAGGAGCATAAGTGACGTCCAAGAATATTCAAGAAGAATCAAGAAGGCGTCTTTATGTATTAGTTATGGTTTAATTTCGTTTTTTTAAGTTTCCATTTTTATTTGCATTAAATAAGGCCTTTTGGTCAAAGATTGCATAAGAATATTTTAGGTTAGTTTCCTATTTTTAGGTAGGAGCCTTTTTCTTCAAGAAAAGGTAATTTCCTATTTCCTTTAGCCTTAATTGGTGCCAACCAAGATAGTCAATCATCATTAAGGCACATTTATGGCATTTATGACCTAGGGTTTTTTTGATTCTAGATTGTTCTTTTGCTGCCTATATAAGGCTACGTTTTTTGTAATTGGAAACAGATTTGAATGAATGAATTTTAGAGAATTTTATTTCTCTTGAGTGAGCTTTGCTTGCCGCCTCGTATTCTCGTGGGAATACTCGACTGTATCAAGGACTGATCATCCTTGTGGTGTCTCCATGGCTAGGGTTGTAAGAGACAGGTTCTCTTAAGGTCCTACCTTTGATCGTTCGTCTAGTTTCCTAACTTGTTTCTAGCCGATCCGTATCCGTTCCTTATATCATTTGGTATCAGAGCTAAGGTTTGCTAGCTTTCAAGTTCTATCCTTTTGGTGTTTTATTTTTGTTGCTTTCTCTATTGCTTCCGTTTTCCTTTCGTTTCCATCTTCTCATTCTGTCTTCCTCCTTTCTTCCTTATTTTCATCCCTTATTATTATTTTTTCGTTTTTTTTTCCTTTTCCTCTCCTTCCCACCCATTGTTTTTTTTTTGTCACTTGACTTGCTTGCTCTTTTAAGTAGAAAAAAAAAAAAAAAAAAGGAAAAAAAAAATGCTGTTGTGTTGAAAACAAAAAAAAAAAAAAGGGGCTGCTAAAGTTGCTGAAAAAAAAAAAAATTCGAAAAAAAAAAAAAAAGGAGAAAGTTTCAGATTTGGAGATTGCAGCATAAGAGACAAGTTTCCTAATTTGAAAGAGCTTCCATTGCAAGTCACAATTAATTTCCTAAATCTTTATACTTGGGTGGTAAGACTCCACTTTCTTTATATCTAATTTCCTATTTGAATACTGTCCTTTTTTATTACTTTCCTATTTTCTTTCTTCAAGTTTCCTTCTTTCTTGTTTCCTATTCCTTTTCCTTCCTTTTCATATTACTTTCCTAATTCAATTTTTTCTTGCAAGGTACCATTTCCTAAAGTTGTCTCAAGGTAGTACCTTTCCTAATTACTTTGTTTCCTATTTTCCTTTACTTTCACAACCTATTTTCATTTTGCAAATTCTGCCTCCCTTTTTCCACGTTTTTTTTCCTATCATTTTTTTTAAAATCATAAACTTCTTCTCTCATTTTTGCCCCCTCCTTTTATTCCATCCTCACATTTCCCTCTTTCACATAGTCACTGGTTTCTTACCAATTTTGGTTGTGGAGATTACCATTTACTAACATTGTCTCTTGATTTTGTTGAGTTTCAATCAAGAATATATAGGAGGCAAGTTTGAGTGGTAAAAGGCGAGAGTGTTATTACATCAATTTAAAAGCCAGATTTGAGTTAAACACGAGTGACACTACAATTTCTCGAGTGAAACACGCGAGTAGAGTGGTAAGGTCCCTTCTTACTATTTCATTTCTCTTTGATCACACTAACGTTTCAATTTCAAGATGAGTGACAAAGAAGCCAATATGGAAGAATTCAACACAGATCCTAAGCTGTTCATGAGAGCCATGAGAGATGAATTTCTCAAACTCAAGTTGGAGCTAGAGGAGCTAAAAGCATCCAAAGCAAGTAGTGGTGATGAGGAGGTGATTAGATCTGGTTCTTCATCCTCAAAGAATAGGAGCAGACCTGAAAAACGTGATTTGGACACCTATGACCCAAAGATCAAGTACCCTACCTTCAAGGGTAATATAAATCCAGATGCATACCTTGATTGGGAGATGAAGTTTGAGCAAATCTTCAGAATGAATGACTGGCCAGAAGAAAAGAAGGTAAAAATTGCTTCATATCAATTTTCTGACTATGCTATTGTTTGGTGGGAAGATTTACAGCTTAAAAGGCGCCTTAAGGGCAAAGGACCACCTCATACATGGTCAAAGCTAAAGAAACTCATGCGCAACAAGTATGTCCCTAGTTACTACTACCGAGAGCTAAATAGAAAGTTACGACTGTTTGGCCAAGGCTCTATGACTGTAGATGAATATGTGCATGAACTTGACCTTCTTAAAATGCGAGCTGGAGTACAAGAAGGAGAAGAAGCAAGCATGACCAGAATCATTGATGGGTTAAGGCCTGAAATTAGAGACAAAGTTGAGATGTACACTTTTGTTGATAAAGAAGAGCTAGTGCATAAAGCCATCAAAGTTGAGAAGCGGTATAAAGAAAAACACTCCAAATCCTCATCTCATGGTTGGAGGGACTCTAGATCAGCATCCAAGTGGAAGGATTCTAAGGCTAAAGATGTTGCAAAATTCACACCAAAAGCCAAGGAGGAATCCAAGCCCAAGATTGATGGCGGTAAGAAACTTGACTCTAAAACTTCTTCTACTGATAGAACCTCTTCTCTTCAATGTTTTAGATGTCATGGAAAAGGGCATATTGCTTCCCAATGTCCCAATAAGAGGGCCATGATTCTCAAAGATAATGGCGAGTATGACAGTGTGCATTCTAGCGATGAAAGTGAGGATGACATGCCTTCTTTGGTGACTGATTCTGAATTGGAGATTGATGAAGCTGAACCTGTTAAGGGAGAAGCATTAGTGGCTAGAAGAGCCCTAAACATGCAACCAAAGGAAGATAAAGAGCAAGAGCAGCGAGAGCTCATCTTCCACACTAGGTGCTTCATAAAGAATAAGGTATGTAGCATGGTTATTGATAGTGGTAGTGTTACCAATGTTGCTAGTACCTTACTTGTTGAAAAGTTGGATTTACCTACTATGAAGCATCCTAAGCCTTATAAATTGCAATGGTTGAATGATAGTGCTGAAGCTAAGGTCACTAAGCAAGTTTTGGTTTCTTTTTCTGTTGGCAACTACCATGCTGAAGTTTTATGTGATGTAGTCCCAATGCTTGCTGGACATCTTTTGCTTGGAAGACCATGGCAGTTTGATAGTAGAGCTCACCATGATGGTTACAAAAATTGTTATTCTGTACCTTTCAATGGAAAAATCATTGTATTGAAGCCTCTTAGGCCTAAAGAAGCTTATGATGACCAAGTGAGGATTGAGAAAGAATGCAAAAAAATAAGTGAGTGGAGTGAAAAAGAGAGAGTACAGAAAAAAGAAAAGAAAAGGAATGAATATGAGAAAAATGAACAAAAGAAAGAGAGTCTATTTGCTGGAAAAAGTGAGGTTAAGAGAGCATTATTGAGTGAGCAAGTCTTGGTGCTTGTGTGCAAGGATGCTTATTTTTCTACTAACCAACTTAACCCCTTTTGCCTTCTAGTGTTGTGGCTTTGTTGCAGGAATTTGGTGACCTATTCCCTGATGAAGTTCCCGATGGGCTTCCTCCCTTAAGAGGAATTGAGCATAGGATTGATTTCATCCCTGGAGCTTCTATACCTAATAGACCAGCTTATAGAGCCAATCCCGAAGAAACTAAAGAGATTCAACGCCAAGTTGATGAACTCATGAGGAAAGGCTTTGTAAGGGAAAGTTTGAGCCCATGTGCTGTTCCAGTACTCTAGTGCCCAAGAAAGATGGTTCATGGCGAATGTGCGTTGATTGTAGAGCCATCAACAAAATAACAGTTAAGTATCGCTACCCCATTCCTAGATTAGATGACATGTTGGATGAGTTGCATGGTGCTACTTTATTCTCTAAAATTGACCTAAGAAGTGGTTATCATCAAATTCGCATGAAAGAGGGAGATGAATGGAAAACAGCTTTTAAAACTAAATTTGGATTGTATGAATGGTTGGTTATGCCCTTGGGTTGACCAATGCACCTAGTACATTCATGAGCTTAATGAATCATGTTTTTCGTTCATTTATTGGAAAATTTGTGGTTGTCTACTTTGATGATATTCTTGTTTACAGCAGAACTTTAGATGACCATGTTATGCACTGTGCGAGGTGTTTAAAACTCTTAGAGAAAATAGCTTGTATGCTAATTTTCAAAAATGTTCTTTTGCATGGATTCTGTTGTGTTTCTTGGTTTTGTTGTAGGTGCTCAAGGGATTCGTGTGGATGAAGAGAAAGTGAAAGCTATCAGGGATTGGCCAACCCCAACAAATGCTAATGAAGTAAGGAGTTTCATGGATTAGCAAGTTTCTATAGGAGGTTTGTTAAGGATTTTTCATCTATTGCTGCACCTTTGAATGAACTTGTTAAGAAGCATGTTTTTTTAAATGGGGTGAATCACAAGAAAAGGCTTTTAACACCCTCAAGGAGAAATTAACTAATGCACCACTATTGTGTTTGCCTGATTTTAATAAAATTTTGAAGTGAATGTGATGCTTCTGGATTGGTATTGGTGCTGTTTGAATGCAAGAGTCTAGGCCTATAGCTTACTTTAGTGAGAAATTAAGTGGAGCTTCTTTGAATTACTCTACTTATGATAAGGAACTCTATGCTTTGAAAAGAACTTTAGAAACTTGGCAGCATTATTTTGGTCCAAAGAGTTCATTATTCACTCTGATCATGAAAGTTTGAAGTTTCTAAAGTCTCAAGGTAAGCTTAACAAGAGGCATGCTCGCTGGTTGGAATTCATAGAGACGTTTCCTTATGTGATCAAGCATAAGCAAGGTAAAGAGAATGTTGTTGCTGATGCTCTTTCTAGGAGGTATTCTCTTATCACTTCTCTTCATGCTAGATTACTTGGATTTGAATTATTGAAAGGGTTGTATGACTCTAATTGTGATTTTTCCAAAATTTGGCTTTCTTGTGAAAAGCATGGGGTGAATGACTTTTATAGATCTGATGGGTTTCTTTTTAAGAAAGATAAATTGTGCATTCCCAATTGCTCTATGCGTGAGCTGCTTGTAAAAGAACTCATGGTGGTGGTGGTTTGATGGGTCACTTTGGTGTTGACAAAACATTAGCTTTGCATGAACACTTTTATTGGCCTGGTATGCGCAAAGATGTTGTGTCTGTTTGTGCTAAATGTGTGACATGTAGGCATGCAAAGTCTAAGGTTCAACCTCATGGTTTATATTCCCCTCTACCTGTGCCTTCCCAACCTTGGGTAGATATTTCTATGGATTTTGTGTTGGGCTTGCCTAGGTCTCAATCTGGGAAAGATAGCATCTTTGTTGTAGTGGATAGATTTAGTAAAATGGCTCATTTTATTGCTTGTTCTAAAACAAATGATGCTGTGCATATTGCTGACTTGTTCTTTAAGAAATTGTTAGATTGCATGGATTGCCTAAAACCATTGTGAGTGATAGGGATGTAAAGTTTCTTAGCCATTTTTGGAGGACCTTGTGGAGTAAGCTTGGAACTAAGTTGCTGTTTTCTACTGTGGCACATCCCCAAACGGATGGGCAAACTGAGGTCGTCAATAGAACACTCACTACCTTGTTACGTGCAATAATTCAAAAGAACTTGAAGAATTGGGTCAACTGCTTGCCTCATATTGAATTTGCATATAACAGGGCTATTCACTCTTCCACTTCTTTCTCTCCATTTGAGATTGTTTATGGCTTTAATCCTCTATCTCCTTTGGATATTCTGCCTTTGCCTTCTAGTGAACGAGCTAACCTTGATGGCAAGAAAAAGGCTGAGTTTGTGCAGGAATTACATGCTAAGGTGAGGGCCAACATCGAGAGAAAGAATGAGCAATATACAAAGCAAGCTAACAAAGGTCTTTGAGCCTGGAGACTGGGTTTGGGTACACTTGCGAAAGGAGAGGTTTCCAGAACAACGAAAGTCTAAGTTGCAGCCAAGAGGAGATGGCCCTTTCCAAGTCTTGGAGCGAATCAATGATAATGCTTATAAAATAGATTTGCCTAGCTCCTACGGTAATGTAAGTGCTACATTTAATGTGACTGATTTATCTCTCTTTGATGCTGCAGATTCGAGGACGAATCCTTTGAGCAGGGAGGGAATGATAGAGGAGCATGGCATGATCAAGCATCAAAGGAAGACCAAAACACGGAGCGTGGAGCCCAAGCTAAAAGATGGAAGTCCAATATTCTAAAAGACCCATTACAAGGCATTCAGGCCCAATGACAAGAGCAAGGACCAAATCTATGAAAGAGGCGCTGAATTGTTTGATAAAAGATCTTAAAGAGTTAGAGCCCATTTATTTGGAAGAAGCATCCCTCAATCAGCCCATCAAGGGTCCAAACATGGTGATTACATTGCTAGAAGCCAAACAAGATGATTGTACAAGGCCCATGTGCAGTCCAGATTGAAGAATTCACTCAAAATACCATGTGACAAGCATGTGCCTTGGAGGAGGAGCATAAGTGACGTCCAAGAATATTCAAGAAGCATCAAGAAGGCGTCTTTATGTATTAGTTATGGTTTAATTTCGTTTTTTTAAGTTTCCATTTTTATTTGCATTAAATAAGGCCTTTTGGTCAAAGATTGCATAAGAATATTTTAGGTTAGTTTCCTATTTTTAGGTAGGAGCCTTTTTCTTCAAGAAAAGGTAATTTCCTATTTCCTTTAGCCTTAATTGGTGCCAACCAAGATAGTCAATCATCATTAAGGCACATTTATGGCATTTATGACCTAGGGTTTTTTGATTCTAGATTGTTCTTTTGCTGCCTATATAAGGCTACGTTTTTTGTAATTGGGGATCAGATTTGAATGAATGAATTTAGAGAATTTTATTTCTCTTGAGTGAGCTTTGCTTGCCGCCTCGTATTCTCGTGGGAATACTCGACTGTATCAAGGACTGATCATCCTTGTGGTGTCTCCATGGCTAGGGTTGTAAGAGACAGGTT